AGAAAGACATATATCACATGATCTCACTTATTTGTGGAATGTAATGAACATAACAGTCTGAGAAATGGGGTAGTCCCAGAGACATGGAAGTGGGATACAGACTGACAACCCCCAGTAGAGGGGGTGGTGGGGGAGAGATAAACCACAGAACTTATATGCATGTATGCATGAACAATGGACCTGGACACAAAGCTGGGGACAGGGCAAAGAGGGAGAGGGAGGGGGGAATCAGTGGGGGGAAAAGGAGAAACATCTGTAACAAAAGTTAAATAATAAAAAATAAATAAAAAAAATAAAACTTATAAAAGATCCTCTGAACTTAAACATATAAAATAGAAAGTAAATAAAAAGGAGCCCCTTTCTTCTCAGTCCTGTGCAGCCACTGGGTGCTCCTTCCCTTTATAATGCCCTCCTCTCCCTCTTCAACAGATGAACTGCAACATCATTCTCCAAAACTCACTTCAAACAATTACAGTACTGGTTCCAAGAATCTTTGCTCCTACCACAGCACCTATCAAGTATTCTGTCATTATTTTATTGCTGCCCATCTAAACCTAGAGCTTCTTGAGGACTGAGGCTATTTTTTAATCTCTGTATCACTAAATTATAAAACTTAGTAGTAAATGCATTAAGTATTTTTTCTGAATTAATAATCTAAATTATTAGCTGTAGAATGGTGTTTCTTAAATAATATTTCAAATAATATGTATTTTACCAGAAATTCAGTACTATGCCCCAGTAGTAAAAGAATTTAGAAAGATTACCTGTGTTTAAGAAATATTACAAAACTGTGCATTGTATCCCTAGTACTCAAAAATGTTTAACTCTGCTTACTCTTTATTTAACAATAGTTTTCTGTTACAAACAATGGCATTTGAAAAATTATAGAGTGTGAGGGTTACAGTTTGGAGAACTCTTCAACAGAGGTGAGGGCTTTCTCCAGGTTATACACACTTGCTTCTTTTCTACCAATGCTATCAGGATACCAGATGTCAACATCAGTCAGTCCTGCTCTAAAAAAATGGACCCTAGCTAGGCTTGGCCAGTTTGGCTCAGTGATTAGAGCATCAGCCCTCAGACTAAAGGGTCATGGGTTCAATTCTGGCCAGGGGCATGTACCTGGGTTTTAGGTTTGATCCTTGGTCCCAGTCAGGGTCATGCAGGAGGCAACCAATAGATGTATCTCTCTCACATCAATGATTCTCTGTCTCTCCCTCCTTCTTTTCCTCCCTCCCACTCTCTAAAAATCAATAGAAAAATACCCTTGGTGAGGATTAACAACAAGAACCAAAAAAATGAATTAATTAAAAAAGATAGGCTTCAGCCCAGCCAGTGTGGCTCAGTGGTTGAGCATTGACCCATGCACCAAGAGGTCACTGGTTTGATTCTTGGTCAGGGCACATGCCCAGGTTGTGGGCCCAATCCCCAGTGGGGATATGCAGGAGATGGCCAATCGATGTCCTCTCTCATCAATGTTGCTATCTGTTTCTCTCTCTCTCTCTCTCTCTCTCTCTCTCTCTCTCTTCCTTCTCCCTTCCTATCTCCCTAAAATCAATAAAGAAAAATAAATTAAAAGAAATAGCCTTCAAATAAACTTTGATTGCTTATTATTAAATGGTCCATGAGTTTTCTTCTTTTATGAGATAGCTTTTTATCTTAGCTGTTAGAAAGCTCAAAATAAACCTATATTCTCAATTATGTTAATAACCCTGGGTCCCTAATGAATATATACTTTTTTTAAAAAATATATTTTTATTCTGATTTTATTTTAATTGCACTTATATTTGAGGCAAAATGTAAATCAGAAATAAAAATAGCATGGCTTATCAATATATATTTTAACAGTGATTTATATAATTAATTTCAGCACAATAAAAGCTACTAAATCACATGCATTTTTGAGGAACAATGCTGAAGAGAAAGATAATATTGTCTGGAACACACATACCCTATATTCAACTCCAACCATGATTAGCCTCCTAAGACTTACAGACATTTCAATGAAAATATGATTATTTATAGGACATATAAAGGAAAAGTTTTTTAAACTAACTTACAAATTTTAACTTGAAAAATTAAATCCCATTCTTAAGAGATTAATATAAAATGTATATTATAAATTAATGTAGATAGTCTTAAATATCTTGAAGTCTTTGATAAAATATACTATAAAAAGGGAAATATAAACTCAAGTGCTTACAGAGGCAAAGTGGGTGACCCAAGTAAGTGAAAACTCTAGGTGGGGACAGCAGCAAAGGAGAAAACAGGTCTCACATAAAAGGGGCAGCCTCTGCACAACATACCAAACAGTAGGGGCTTATGGGGTGCCAGATTCAATTCTTTAAAAGAAGCTTAAAATTAAAATTTCTACATGAGTCTCCTAAATTTTAAATGTTGATTTAATTTATGGAGGCAAACTAAACATATCCAGAGCCCACATTTAGTCTAAACCCACTTGTGTGTTTATATTTGCAGTATTTTTAAAGGGTTGTGTATAAAGCAAATATTTGTATATAAGACCTTTCCTTTCATTAGTATCATATTGTTTGTTGTTGTTTTTATTCTCACTCGAGGACACTTTTGCATTTATCTTCAGATAGAGCGAGAGGGAGAGAGGAAGAGAGAGATAGACATTGATGTTAGAGAGACACTTAGAGTGGCTGCCACCCACACAACCCCACCTGGGGCATGGACACATTGCAACCAAGGTACATGCCCCCAGCAAGAACCAAACCTGGCCTCTCTGGTCCACAGGTAGACGCTCTAACTGCTGAACCAAACCGGCCAGGGTAGTGTCATATGATCAATATTTTTGGCCCCAACATGTAATAAAAATCATTATTTAGACTGATAATACCCACTACAAAAATTTTACTAATCCTTATTAAAGCTACAATCTATTTGTATTGATTTCTCCCAGATTATTAACCAAATAGTTTATAGAATTGCTGAAACTAAATTATTAAAGCAATTCTCATCTTTATTGTTACTAATTTCATAGTTTTTGATGTTTTGATGTTTAAAACTGCCATCCTAAGTATGCCAGGGCTCTATAAAATTAACAGACACACTGAGACCATCTATCACACAGCTTCAACTAAAAAGAAAGCTCAAGACTTACTATTATTGCAGGGAATTCCTGCTTGTAGTAAACATTTGTTGATTTAAAGAACTGAACAAGAATAAAAGATGCACCCTGGCTGGTTTGGCTTAGCAGTTAGAGTATCAGCCGAAGGACCAATGAATCATGGGTTCGATTATGGTCAAGGGCACATTTATTAATTGGTTCCTCTTTAGTCAGGTTGTGCAAGAGGCAACCAGTCAATGTGGTTCTATCACATCACTGTTTCTCTCTGTCTGTTTCTCTCTCCCTCCTTCCCACTCTCTCTGATTAAAAATAAAAAAGTATCCTCGGGTGAGGAATAAAAAAAAAAATGAATGAAAGATGCAAAATTCTTAAAGGGTCAGATTCTACTTACTAACAGACTGCCCAAAAGCAAATTTCTAAAGACTCTGTGCACCAGTGAATGATTGATGATTGAAAAAAAAGGTGATCTTTAAGCCAGTGGATATCACAGATAATGTTCCCTATAATTTCTCAAGTGAAGAAGTAGAAACAGTTGAAAGTCAGGCCAATGTTGCTGGAAGAGAAAGAGCGGAATAAAGTATCACCTATCAAATTCCAACTCTTCTAGAGATTTCTTAAGTTTGTGGGATCTGTGAATTTATACATTACACATATCCATTCAGTACTCCTTAACCAAGAGTTGTATCAGAATCTCAAGGAAATATTTCTCAATATACATGTCTGTGCCTTATTAGATTTACTCCATCAAAATCTTCAAGTAAGAACCTTCGCTTGTAAACTTTTTTAAGTTCCTCGGTTGATGGAGATTCTCCAGCACAATTCTGGCCGAGAACGAGTTCAGGACAGTCATGTCAGTCTCCCTCAGCAGCAAAACTTTTATTATACTGTAATGTGCTTTACTTTGAGATTTAAGATAAAGCCCGTTTTCATGGCAAATTTTGATTTCCTGCGTTGTTTTACATTAGAAAAAAACTCAGGTGTGAAAAAATATTTTTTACAAGAGTTTTACATCTAACAAGTTGTATTTTCACAAATATTTGTCACAAGGCATAAGAGAGAGTTGTACCCTCTACTGCTTTTTCAGAAGTGTCATTATGTAAAGAGAAATCTTAGACAATTCAGTTATTTTAAAATATTTTCATTCAGGGAATGCTTGAGCTTCCAAATATATAAAGTTGACCCTACCTGTGTCAACCAAGGCTGTTCCTGTCAGGTTGCAGTGGTGAGAGATATTGTATGTCCAGATGAGAAAGCAGGTGAACAGCTTCGCCATTGCCTGCTCCCTAAGTACAACTACAATCTTGCTGAGGAGCTACACGAGGCTGAGCTGGAGCTACACTCGGATGTGGAAAACCCCAAGGTAGTAGTATGTGGCTGGCAGAGTGGCTACCACCCCAAGGGGATGCCCTTTACTAGATGTCAAGACATGACCTGACCCTCTTGCCCCAACCTTCAGAACCTTGGGGTTCTGGAGAGTTGAGGGCCTGTGGACTATTGCTTCCCCTTCCCACTTGCCCTCACCCAGCTCTCCCTGCCGGGGGCTAGATCTTCCCTCCCCCCATCCCCAGCAGCACCCAGTTTCTAAGCCCCCACCTGCACAGCAGCCAGCCCCCACCAGCACTTTACTCCCCCAGGCCTTCAGTCCTTTGGGGGCTCTGAGCCTATCACCCACTCCCAGGCACCATGAGAAAGTGCTTCCTTCTGGGGTGGAAGGGTAGCTGGGAGAGAGGGCTTTGCCCTTTCTGCAGACACCACATTTCTCCAGCCCTCCCTGACTTGGCTTTGGAGTTCTTTCCATAATGAAAGGGCCTGATATATTGTATTCAGTACACATTTGTGAGAAAGAAAATGCTTGGGGCTAAAGTAAAAACATGTATTTCAAATATTTTGTAAAAAGTGACTTGATCTATACCTTGTGTTTGCTTCCATGTTGGCTCTGCATGAAAGCAGCTTTTCCACTATAGCCATGTTCTCACCACGGACAGCATGGTGCAGAGCAGTGTTGCCACTGATGTCCGCCACGTTAGGATCGGCGCCGTGGTCCAGGAGAATCGCTGCACATTCCTCTTGCTAGGATTGCACCGCCTGTCAGTACTGTGCCAAGAAATAGACTGTAAATTCTAGGAATTCAAAGTAAACATTCCACTAGTTTAACCAATAACTGATAGTTAAATAAGATAAATTTAGTTTTATTCCAAGTAATTAAATCAAATCCATCTCATGTTGCCAAAGTTGGCAACTGCATACCTAAATCAGAGCTGTCCTGTTATCAATGTCACTGAGGTCCAACAGACATTTTCTGTCCACCAAGAGACGTACCACTCTCGGATGGCCATGGGCACAGGCCAAATGGAGAGCAGTCCTGTGAAAGTGAGAGGACACTGTAGGAACTTGGAGCGCACTGTCTCAACACGTACAATTGTTCATGTGATTGTGAACATTAAATGTTATCCCCATGCCTTCAAAACAAATATTTAGCTTTCTTCTGAAGACAGCACAATATTTATTAGTTCTTATTACCCACCACATTAATGAAGGAGCAGCCTATCTGAATTGAGGTGACCTGGAATTCGGCTCAACTTGGGTCTGATCCTATCTTAACTGTCACTTATTAGTTATCATTTAGCCTTTCTGAACCTCAATTTTCTCATCAAGAAATGAGAATTAAAACAGTAGTGATCTCACAGAAGACCTTTGTTCACTTAAATGAAAAGCTAAGTAGTGTTTACTGCAGTTTTTAGCACACACAAAAAATCTTAATAATTGTTAGATTATATTATAATTATTACTATTACTACTTTAAGACATTTCAACTAAGTAAATTATATTATTATACCTACTTTGCAGATGTGTTTTAAGAATTAGAAAGCAAACTGTATTTCAATGATATATATATTTTTTTTTGGTACGTGCCCCTAATGGGAACCAAACCCGGGACTCCTCTGGTCCATAGGCCGAGGCTCCAACCACTGAGCCAAACCAGCCAGGACTGTTTCAATGATTTTTAACATGCTTATTTTCTCATGTTCTAACATCTCTTGGTAGTGGAATAAAATTTATAATAAAGAATGTCTTACAACTATAATTGGCAGCATGTTCTTATAAAAATTCTTATTGGTATATAATATATTGGGTATCATACCATCCATAGTGATTAAGTGAAATAATGGTAAATACAACAAACCTTTTGCACTTCTTCTAATTTAAATCACCATTAGTTCTTAAATGCATTATGGGAAAAGAGGAATAAAATAACAAGAAAACAATTTTAAGTAACTTTGACTTTATTGGGTGGGGGGCTTAATTCTCACCCAAGGGTATTTTTTCACTGATTGTTTTTTAGATAGCATAGAAGAGAGGGAGGGAGAGAGAGAGAAATATCAGTGTGAGAGTGACACATCAATTGGTTGCTTCCTGCACTTCCCCGACAATTTTCTCCCTTCAGAAATACTTATGTTTGAAAGGACTAAGAAAAACCTTCATTTGAGCCCTGGCCAGTTTTGCTCAGTGGTTAGAGCACCAGTGTAACCAGCACAGTCCAGAGAACCCAGATTTGGTTCCCACTAAGGGCACGTACCTCAGTTGCAGTTTGACCTCAACCCTGGTTGGGTTGTGTGGGAGGCAGCCACCGGATGTGTCCCTTTCACATCAATGTTTTTTTCTTGCTCTCTTTCTTTCTCTCTCTCCCACTCTATCAAAACAAAAAATAAAAAATGTCCTCAGGCGGAAGAGGATAAAAAAATGGAAAAAAGACTCAAAGAACCACCTCCCATGACATAAGAATGGCCAATAAGCACATGAAAACTTTTGTTAATGGTACCACTTTGAAAAAAATTATTATTTAAAAAAAGCTTCATTTGAGATTAGGTCCTAATATCTCCATTTTAAATTTCTCATTTTGCTCATACTTGACAACATGATGTTTTTAAGAATGAAAAGGGCCTGAGAGAGAAATTGAAAGGGTCCTAAGTAGAATATATCTGCTACATAGATATTCAGGTTATAGTTTATGTATAAATGTATTAAAATAATGAGTAAATATACTTGGAGAGTTCAGTGTTTTTTAAAAATATTTCTATAAAGTAAAGCAATACTTCTGCAATAGTAATAATCACTATATTTGCTATTTTTATCATAAAAATACAACTAAAATGATTAACTTAAAATCATTTATATATTATATGTAATAAAGCTATTTAAAGTAAAAAATGTGTACATTTACATATATACATGTATTCTACAGGCACAGATAAAAAGATTCCTTTTCCTCCTGAAGAGGTTAAAAGTTTGCAGATGTCAGTCCTCAAAAACATTTTTTTAAATGTTATAATACAAATGTTCAGAAATAAATTGTATCACATTTTGCACATATTTTGGGCTAATATAAGCATAGTCTGTGTGTTTGTATAATCAAACTGATTTTTGTCTCCCTTTCTGATCTACCAAAGTACATCTTTACATGTTAACATCCATCTACTATCTTTACCACCTTCAATTGTCACATATTATTCCATCCTATGGATGCACTGCAATTTTTAAACAAAATCCATGTATATGAGTTCTTCTACACTACTATTTTGAGCAGTGCTGAGAAAAACAAATTGTATGTAATTTATATAATTATTTTATAAAGATATTTTAGTATAAATAGAATTAATAGGTAAAAAATAATATATATTATTGCACATTTGAAAAGTCAAAAGCAACTAAAACTTTAAGCAGCAGTATAAGTACCATTGCTGGTCATCTTCACAAACTTTGTGAATAGAAAACAGTATTACACTCCTCTTTTAATGTAAATTCTTTTGTTATCGGTGACACTAAATATTTTTTCCTATGTCCACTGGTCATTGTAGATATGTTAAAAGTGCTTTGTCCAATGTCAAATTAGAGTTTTTTCTTGTTGAATTCAAAGTTTTCTCTGTAACATATACTTTTACTCTGATATGCATATGTTGTAAATATTTTACAAGTACATTTTCTTTTTTTTAATATTACTTTCTGATAGACAGTGGGTTTTAATTTTTTATATTGCTCAAACTCCAGAAATCCTGCTTTTGAAGTCTTTGTCAATTTAAATATATAAGTAGGCATCAGTGTTTTTTTCTGCTAATTTTCACATTTTGTATATTTGAAATTTTTAATTTATATTTCAACTGGAACTTACTTTGTGAGATTAAAGTCTAGCCAGTTTTCTCCAAAAACTTAACAGTTATTTCTCAACCACTTATGAGTAATTCATCTTTTTCTATGAACATAAAATGTCACCCAGTATCAAGTTTTAAAGTCTTACATCTATTTGGATGTTTGAGCTTTTCCATTCTGTTCCAATAATTTCTCTGTCTTTTCAGTTATTAATAAATAAATAATTTGTGGAAATTTATAGCACATGTTGATATCTAGAAAGGCAAATCTTTATAGCCTACACAATAATTTTTTTAAATTTTATCACAATAAAGACAGCACTGTGACTCAAAATTTTTAAAACCATATTTTATTTAGTTTCTGTAAAATTGATAAATATAAGAAGAGCACAGATTTGAGAAATGAGTCTTCCTATTTCAGACCACAGCTATCTTCTCACTTCAAAGTTCCCTTCTGAGGTCCGTCAATAAAGAACAAAGGTGTACACTGATATAAAATGGTTACTGGATTTTATCAGAAGAATTTCTAGCCCAGAAGTTGATCTATTAGGGGAATTATTTCTCTCATTATGCACTTTTCTACAAATAGCATTACAGCATAAAAATGTGAACAAATATGCTGTATATACTTAATTTAATTTCTACCATTGATATTTAATTAAATCATTTTTAAATTGTCAGTAAAGTGCTCTGTGAGAGGAATTAAAAGTGGGTCCTAATGTTTTTGTGTCTGCTGCTCATAAAGTTGGCCTGAGATCTAGACCCCACTAAGGTCTCTACCACTGAGGTGCTGCGGGGCTGCAAGAGGGGGGCAGCCGGCACCCTGGGTGGCAGGAGGGCTGCACTGCACCTGGCTGGGCCTGGCAGGGAGAGCTTCTCCCAGGTCCACATGCCTCCTCCTGGTGGACCCCAGGCCTTCGGCTTTGCAGTTTCTACCACCTGTTCATCTTGTCTCTATCATCTAAGCCATTTATCCAGAGCAACAGATTCTGCTTCACTTTTGCTACGTTGCCCACACAGGCAGCTTTGTGCATCTTTCTCAGATCTTTGTCTTGGATCTGGTACCCCAGCTAGGTGCTCCTGTTAGTCCTTTTAAGCCTGTCTCCTATGCTGTTCCTCCCAGGGCTGCTGAATGACCTCAAGGGCAACAAGCTCTTTCTACTCCCAAAGCCGAAAATCTTCTTCATTGCAGCTAGCCAAGGGATACAGAGAAGCCTCACCTTCCCCTCAGCTTTTTACCAGCTGGCTTCTGAGCCCAATACTAAGGCTCTAGATAAGCCAGTCGCCTCAGGCCACAACCACCTAGCAGAGAAGCACCGTGGTTTGAAATCTTTCAGCCTAGAATGATAGTAACCAAGCAATGCCTCCCTCTACACACAATTGCGCCTGCGCACCTCAGAGCAGCCGTCAATGCGCATGCGCCCAAAGGCCCCCGTGGCCAAAGATACTCAGAGCACATGTGCAAGGTCCAGACATCTTAAAATCTCAGTAAATGCTTGTGAATGGGTGGTGCTGGGGTTTTTTCAAAAATGATGGAAATTGTCTTAAGTGTTTTAAGACAGTCACAAAAGTTAGAAATACCCCAGTAGAGAAGCAGTCTTTGCCTACCACTGGGGCTAGAGTGACATGGAATTTCAGAATGCTAAAGGCCTCGTCCTCCAGAAAGCTCCTTTGAAAAAGAAAAAATCTATAAATACTTTTGTCTCTGCATTTATTCTTTTTCCACATCCCTCTGGACCCCAGCCAGTCTCCAGTAAATTTAGCAGATGCAACAACAGAAAGGTGTTTCACAATTTTGGAAATTGTGGCAATGTATCTACAAGTGCAAATTTATGAGAAACAAATGCACTTTCTCCAGATGAAATAGAAGCACATTTTCCATGTTTCTCTTAATGCAGTAACCCCAGCCTTACATTTACGTTTTCTTTCCTTTTATTTCCCA